TTAAAGGAGAACTATGAGGTGAGTGCTTTTCACTCACCTCATAGTTCTAGCCGACCTGTGACAATGAGACTGTCACAGGTCAGCTCAGTAGATCGGGAAGTGAGCGAACACATACCGGCGTTCGCTCACCTCTCGATCCTGTCACGGCTCTCTGCCGTGACAGGGGAGGGGCTGGATTCCCCGCTCCGATCCGCCAGCGCTGACTGGCGGAAAGGACGGGGAGGGGGCGGGTACAGCTGGCTCTGCCTGTAGATAGGCAGAGCCAGCTGTCACTCACGCAGCTGGGCGGATCCAGACATAATTGTCGGGATCCGCTCCAGCTGCGGCATCTCAGTATACTGTGGTGTCTTAGTATACCGTGAGCTGTAGCGCGCGGTATACTGAGCTTAGGGTGACGGGAGGACGCTAGTTTGTGTCCTTTCGTTACCCTAAGGAGAACTATGGGGAAAAGCCTTAACCCCATAGTTCTCCTTTAATGGAATACAAGTGCGGTGACTTAGTTAATTCACTCTTCCTCCTTTTCATGTTATTGAATGTCCGTACTGAGGTAGAACAGTCTGCAGGAGCCATAGTATTACACTCGCCATCCAACGATCATGGTTGCAGTGCTTTACTGGCTCCTATGCAAAAATAAATAAATTAAGGCACATTTTTTGTTTTATGAAGTTCCCATTTATTTTAATTTTGTTTTTCCAAAAGGCTAAATGTCCCTGTTAATATCAATCTGTGCAATAAATTACAATAAAATGCAATATAAAAACTAAAATATTGTATGACTAATATACACTATACATATATCAATGAATTTGTATTTGTATAAAGTCGTTATATATATGTATTTCTGCTTCCAATCTTTTGCACATTCCAAGTGCTGTGCAAAATGATTGAGTGATCCATGTCACATAAAGTGTGATAATCTGTGGACAAATCAGCACCCCAGGTAGTCAAACAAATTATCACCTTGTTGGATGAACGTTAATATTAACTATAGGTTAATAGGCGTAAATTTTATTTACATTTATCGCATTGATACATTTTGTTTATTTGGGTGCTAGCTACTTTTTGTTTGAGAATATACTGTATACTTTCCATATAGTGGGAGGCACTCATAGGTCTTGCAATGAATCAACATAGATAAATATATACGAGTGTGTATATATTGTGAGGATTAGCTTCAATGGGTAGCGCATTCAAGACACTTCCACTAGTAAACAACTTCTTTTTAGGGCTTCCTGCCGGCTTTTATTCAAACATGCACAGAAGTTTTTCCCTCGCAGGGGCTTCTCCAACAGGTTAAACACAAAGTTCAGCTTTTTCTTCAGCCACATAACCTTTTTACCGTCTCACCGACTTCAGGTTGTCTCTTTAACTAAACCTCATCCCCATAGGCTATATTCACACACTTGCCACACTGTCTGCTCTTCACCACACAGGCGATCTGCTCCCCAGACTTTTGTCTTGCGATGGTTGTAAGGTAATTAAAAAAACGTACAATCTGCCTATCTTGGACAGGCAGATCATACTTGCAATGATCGCAAGCCCGCCCCGCTGAGGGGCGGGCTTCCGATGACCGCAATGCTGAACGGGCAGTGTGCGCTTGCACACCGGCCCGTGAGCCTTTTATCTTGCGAACATGCCACA